GAAATTTGCAGGCAAATGGTGGGATCTAGATAAGATCATCCTGAGTGAGGTATCCCAGGAGCAGAAAGACACACATGGTATATACTCACTTATATAGTCCTTTAAGATAGGATAAATATACTAAAATATGTTCACCTAAAGAAGATAAACAAGAAAGAGGACCTGGGGTAAGATGATCAATCCTCACTTAGAAAGACAAATGGGATGGATATTGGATGTAGGAGAAAACAAGAAATAGGACAGGAGCCTACCACAGAGGGCCTCTGAAAGACTCTACCTAGCAGCGTATCAAAGCAGACGCCGAGAATCATACCCAAACTTTTGGTAGAGTGCAGGGAATCATATGATAAAGGGGAGAGTTAATATGACTGGAAGAAAACAAGAGTTCCACAAGGACAAAATATATCAGGGCACAGGGGTCCTCTATGAGACTGTTTCTCCAACCAAGGACCATGTATGGATATAACCTGGAACCCCTGCTCGGTTGTAGCCCATGGCAGCTCAGTATCCAAATGGGTTCTCTAGTAAGGGGAACAGGAACTATTTCTGACATGAACTCAAGGACTGGTTCCTTTACCTCCCCCCCACCACTGAGAGATGAACAGCCTTGCTAGGCCACAGAGGAGGACATTGCAGCCAGTCCTGAAGATACCTGATAAGCTAGGGTCAGATGGAAGAGGAGGAGGACCTCGCCTAGTGGACTTGGAAAGGGACAGGGAGAAGATGAGGAAGGGAGGGTGGGATTGGGAGGGAGTAAGTGAGGGGGCTACAGCTGAGATACAAAGTAAATAACCTGTGATTAATATTAAAAAAATAAAAATTAAAAAAAAAACACATGTCCTGGGACAAAAATGAACTACAATAAAACAATGACCTAAGGCAGTCTAACAAAGAACTTGGAACAGTTTCTCAACTCTTTAGGGGAGGTCAATGTTAAAAAAAAAATTAACAGAATCACTTAGAATTGTCTGCAAATCAGATACTTATTTTATTAATTTTATCAAATGAAACCAAGCCATGCTGTTTGAGCCAATTAAGAAAACTACAGCTATCTGTCACAATGTCTAAACTGTTACTTGTAGTCTTTAAAATATGCATGACTGTACATTTGATCGTATTTGATTTGCAGGAGGGGCTATATTTGTTTTCCAATTTAAACAAAAATAAATAAGTAACTTAGTGCAGATTCTTGAGAATAACTAGGAGATGAAATTTGAGGATCAGCCATATCAGGCATTCAGTTGCCTGAAAATCTTCTGTAAGGCAAAGGAATAGAATGAATGAATGAATAGAATGAAACAGCAATCTAAACAGTGGGAAAAGATATTCACCAGCCTAACATCTGACAAAGAGATATTATCTAAAATACATAAAGAACTCAAGAAATTAAATACCAACAAACAAAATAATCCAATTAAAAACATGGGGTACAGACTTATACAAAGGAGCTCCACAAGAAGACAAATAGAGCCAACTACCAAGGATTCAGGGGAGGCTTATTGAAACTGACAACATGCACGAACTGGACTGAGGCCTCATACAAAGATGTAGCAGATGGGCAGCTTAGGCTTCATATGGGTCCACTTGCAAGGGAAGTGAGAACTGCATCTGACACTGACTCCTGTGCCAGCTTTTTTGATCACTTCTCCTGGAAGGACTGCCTTGCCAGGCCATAGGGGAACAGCACATGTTCAGTCCTGATGCAATTTGATGAGCTGGGCTGGATGGGAAAGGGAGCTCCCTTTCTCTCAGGAAAAGGGCAGTGGGAAGACAGGAGTGAAGTAAAGTGGAACTGGGAAGGGAGGAGGGATGGGACTAAAACAAGATTATAAAGTGAGTAAAAAGCCAATTAAATTAATATAAAAGAGTATTAAAAATGCTCCATTTCCTTAGTCATCGGGGAAATGCAAATCAAAATGACTCTGAGATTCTTACACTTGTCAGAATAACTAGGATAAAGAACTCAAGTGACAGCACATGCTGGCAAGAATGTGGAGAAATGGGTGTTCCTTTTCATTGCTGATGGGAGGGCAAACTTGTACAACCACTTTGGAAATCAATCTGAAGATTTCTCAGAAAAAAATGGGAATAGCTCTGCTTCAATATCCAGCTATACCAACCCTGGGTATGTACCCCCAAATTATGCTCTACCATACAATAAGGACATTTTCTCAGCTATGTTCATAGCAGCTTTATTTGTAATAGCCAGATTCTGGAAACAACATAGATGTCCCTCAACTGAAGAATGGGAAAAGAAACTGTGGCACATTTACAAAATGGAATACCATCCAGCTACTAAAAACAGGAAATAATAAAATTTTCAAGCAAACAGATACAACTAAAAAAGATCATCCTGAGTGAGGTAACCCAGAACCAGAAAGATAAATATTCTATGTACTCACTTATAAGCAGATTTTAGATATATAGTACAGGATAGGCATTACAATTCACAGACCCAAAGAAGACAAGTAACAAGGAATACCCAAAGGAAAATGCTTAAATCTCACTCAGAATGAGAAATAGGACAGACAGCAGAAGTGGTTGAAGAGAGGTAACAAGGTAGGAGAGGGAACACAAAGAGAAATGAGGATGGAGACCAAACCTGGGGAGAGTGGCATTGAGAGGACAGAGAGCCTGCAAAGAGAAGAGAAACCTTGGGTGGGCCATCTCCACAACAAGCTGGAGACCTAAGACAGGGTAAGCTTCTGGGAGGATTGGGAGGTGATACTAGTTGACACTCCTAAGAGCAGGGGGCATGGAGACTGAGGAAGTCCTCTAACTAGACAGGACTCCTTAGTGGAGAGAGGGGAACACCAATCCACCCACAAAAATCTTAAGCAAAAATTTACTCTGCCCACTGGATATGCAAGGATAAGACAGAGCAGAGACTGAGGGAATGTCCAATCAATGCCTGGCCCAACCTGAGACCCATGGGAGACTCCATGGGAGAGAGCCAACCCCTGCCAATATTAATGATATTCTGCTATGCTCACAGAGAAGAACCTAGCATATCTGTCCTCCAAGAGGCTTCACCCAGCCGCAGATTGAAACAGATGAGGAGACTCACTCAGATTTTGTTTGTTTGAGACAGGGTTTCCATCTGTAGCCTTGGTTGTCCTAGACTCACTCTATAGACCAGGCCAGTCTCGAACTCACAGCAATCTGCATGGCTCTGCCTCTGAGAGTGCTGGGATTACAAGCATGGGCCTCCATGCCTGTCTCTCGGACATTCCTTTTTTTTTTTTTTTAAATAAAAAGTGTGTCTTTTATTTTCAATTAGGCAAATAATGAAAAAAAATCAGAGGTAAATCGGTCTTATCAAATTTTTTGATGACTGAATCTTTTAATATGATTCACATAATAAAGATTATGAATTTTAGTTATTGTTGATAAGTGTATTCACAGTAACATTTGGCCATACATAATTGATTCATTGGTCTATACTAACAAACTTTAATCTGTTTGATTCTTGTCATTGTTTGGTATGTGCAAGATAGGCTTCATTCTGCAGTGGAGTCAGAACCGGCTGAGGTGAAAGTACAGCAAGAAATAACTGATTATGCTCATTGGCTCCACAAACAGTCCCTGTGGAATCAATAAACCCAAGCAAAACTAAAAATGCTCTTTGTTCCCCATATATAACCCCCATGCACCTTATGCCTGTAAGCACTAGGCAAGGAGGGGCCTGCAGAGCACTGGACAGGGGAGCATATGGCAGACAGGAAGTGAGACAGAACTCAAGAGGACAGTGATGCCACCAGGGGAGGTTTGAGGAGAAAAGTGATATTTTCCATAGATGACAGTAGGAGATGGAGAGAAAGGAAGCAATTAGATAAAATGAAGAGTTGAAATTCAGTTTGGTACAAGTAATTAAAGGACATTAGAGATCAAGGTTGTGTCATGCATGTCAATGTAAACATAGGTTAGTGATGAACACTAGTTCGTTTGTAGATAATCAAAATTTTATGTGTATGTGTTATTTACACATAAATATGTGTATGTGTACCACATCTGTATGTATACACATAGAGCATGCCAGGTTCATGGAAAGGTTGAAAAAGAGCGTAAGATTCCCCTGGAAGCACAGGTAAGAATAGTTGTGAGCCACCATGTGAGTGCTGGGAATGGAGCCCTGAACTTCTGCAAGAGCAGCAAGTGCCTTTAAGGGCTAAGTCGTCTCTTGACCTCAACCCCTGCTTTGAGCATTTCTTTTTCATAGTCCTCACAGTCCATATATCTTGTCGGGCTCCATGAATGGAGACGTCCTCTAAATGAGGCCACCAAGAGAGCAGGAAGCCTTCTGCGATGGTTCTGAACCACGGGGTGATCTTCTCTTCTCCACGGGCCCCCCTGTCCAGTAGGTCCTGCAGGTCCTCCTGGCTCATGTAGCAGTAGCTTTTCACTTCCCTGGGATCTGGATTCAGAGTGAGGTCTTTCCTCAACAACAGAAGATAGCCAACCTCATAGTCTCCCCAGATGTCATCAGAAGGACTCTTGTGGTAAATTTGGATCATAAAAATTATGTCCTTTATGGAAATCTGTGTCAAAGTTGATCGAGTATTAAGTCAGTAATAGAGAAACTGAACATTTAGATAGAAAGCAGTTCATTCCTTTCCACGGAGTGCCACACAAGGACTTAAGCTTTAATTAGATGTTAGGTAGGTCACAGCTCTCAGTCATTCTTAAAAGGATTTCATGACCATCATGCACTGGAAGTTAGCAAAGCCAAGTTGTAGCTTTACTTGTCAAAAAAAAAAAAAACCCTTGCTGTTTGGCTAATAATTTTTATAGTTAATTAAAAGAGAACTGTGTCCTCCAGTTCTCTGTAATGTTTATCTGCAACCTCCTAATGTTTAATTTCTTTCATGTGCCTAAAAAAAATCTGATAAGATTTTCCTAGTACCAACAAAATCTTACGAAATGTATCCCAGCTGAGGTCACTTGATTTTTCTAAACACTTACCATTTGCCAAGAAATAACTAGTAGGGAATATTTATACCTCAGCAACCCATCAATTCCTGGTTTCCTTAACAATTACTCAGAAATGGTTTTACTTCATCTATTGATCTTCAAACTGTGAGTAGAATTCAGAAACTCCCAATGTTCTTTCTTTCTTCTGCATAACATGTATAAAATTATCTCTTCATAGACTGTGCATGGTGGTGCATAACACTGGGTGCAGAAGAAGATATATCTCTGTGTGCTCAAGATGAGCCTGATCTTTATAGTAAATTCCAGGCCAGGAAGGCCTACAAAAGGAGAACTCCTCTCAATACTTTTCTCACTCACTAATGTTGTTTTCCACTTTTTATTGAGATATGTGAAAAGAAAATGAGAGACTTGGGGAAGGGCATGTGTGCAGAGGGGGGAGAAAGGAAGAGATTTGGAGGAGAGGAGGGAGGGGAGCATAGGGGGGATACAAAGTGAATAAAGTGTAATCAGTAAAGAATTTTTTAAAAAAGAAAAAAGAATGGCCAAGATGAAAAACTCAAGTGATAGCACATGCTGGAGAGGTTGTGGAGAAAAGGGAACCCTCCTCCATTGCTGGTGGGAATGTAAACTGGTTCAACCACTCTGGAAGTCAATCTGGCGCTTTCTCAGACAACTAGGAGTAGTGCTACCTCAAGACCCAGCTATACCACTCCTAGGTATATACCCAAAATTTGCTCAAGTACACAACAAGGACATTTGTTCAACCATGTTCGTAGCAGCTTTATTTGTAATAGCCAGAACTTGGAAACAACCCAGATGTCCATCAACGGAGGAATGGATACAGAAATTGTGGTATTTTTACACAATGGAATACTACTCAGCAATCAAAAAGGAGGAAATCATGAAATTTGCAGGCAAGTGGTGGGATCTAGAAAAGATCATTCTGAATGAAGTATCCCAGAAGGAGAAAGACAAACTTGGTATATACTCGCTTATATAGACCTACAAGATATGATAAACATAATGAAATCTACACACCTAAAGAAGATAATCAAGAAAGTGGACACAGGCGAAGGTGATTAATCCTCATTTAGAAAGACAAATGGGATGTTCATTGAACTTATGACAGGAGTCTACCACAAAAGGCATCTGAAAGACTCTACCTAGCAGTGTTTCAAAGTAGACACTAAGACTCATAACCAAACCCTCGGCAGAGTGCAGGGAATCATATGAAAAAAGGGAAGTTAGTATGATATGGAAAGGATAGGAGCTCTACAAGGACCAAATATATCTGGGCACAGGGTCTTTTCTGAGACTGACACTCAACCAAGGACCATCTATGGATATAACCTAGAACTTCTGCTCGGATGTGGCCTGTGGTAGCTCAGTAACCAAGTAGTTTTCCAAAGTAAGGGGAACACGGACTATTTCTAACAGGATCTCAAGGGCAGGCTGTTTGACACCCCCCCCCCAGGGGAGGAGCAGTCTGTTAGGCCACAGAGGAGGACTTTACAGCCAGCCCTGAAGATACCTGATAAAACAGGGTCAGATGAAAGGAGAGGAGGTCTTCCCCTATCAGTGGACTTGGAAAGGGGCAGGGAGGAGACCAGGGAGGGAGTGTGGGGTTGGGGAGGAAATGAGGGAGCAGGATAGAGCTGGGGCACAGAGTTAACAAAATGTAACTAAAAAGAATAAATAAATAAATAAATAAAAAATAAAAATTAAAAAAAAAGAAATTCAAAAGTGAAAAAAAAGTAAAATCATAGTGTGATGGTACCTAGGAATGAAATATTAAAGAGTATTTTGAATTGCTATATTTCATATCCACAAAATTAACATTGAATCTAAAAAAAAAGAAAAATACAATTGTTTCTCTATAAACCACCACTTTCTCTTCAATCACTAAAAACCTCTGATGTCCTTTTATAAAATGAACCTTCTCCATTCTCTTGTTACTCTCCTTGTTTTAGAGAATGAATTTCTCTCTGTGTCTCCCTCTCCTTCTCCCACTCCCTCTTCTCACTCTCCTGCTCTGTCTTTCCTCTCTTTCTCTTTCTCTTTCTTCCCATTCAACCCATTTCTGTCTCCTTCCTTCCTTCTCTTTCTTACAAAATACAGCCCTGCTGGGTAACTGAACACAGTAAATAACAAGTGAAAATTTTCATCATTATGTTTAAAGAAGTATTCTGATAACTCTAGCCAGGAAAGAGAGTGCTTGTCTCCCTCGAGGCATCCACATACCAAATTAAATGTTTATTGACGTCCAATTAAGTCAATAGTATACTTTCAGATTTCAGTAAACTGAGTTTCTTGAGAACAAAACTTTTTATAAATAAGTAACTGCACTTTCTCAGACAATTAGGAATAGTGCTACCTCAAGACCCAGCTATACCACTCCTAGGCATAAATCCAAAAGATGCTCAAGTACACAACAAGGGCATCTGCACAATCATGTTTCTAGCAGCTTTATTTGTAATAGCCAGAATCTGGAAAACACCCAGATGTCCCTAAATTGAGGAATTAATACAAAAATTGTGGTATATTTACACAATGGAATACTACTCTGCAATTAAAAACAAGGAAATCATGAAATTTGCAGGCAAATGGTGGGATCTAGATAAGCTCATCCTGAATGAGGTATCTCAGAAGCAGAAAGACACACATGGTATATACTCACTTATAAGTGGATATTAGACATATAATATAGGACAATTATACTAAAATCCATACACCTAAAGGAGCTAAGCAAGAAGGAGCACGCTTGGGTAAGATGCTCAATCTCATTCAGAAAAGCAAACGGGATAGATATCAGAAGAGGAAGAAAACAAGGAACAAGATAGGAGCTTACCCACAGAGGGACTCTGAAAGACTACCCAGCAGGGTATTAAATCAGATGCTGAGACTCATAGCCAAACTTTGTGCAGAGTATTGGGAATTGTATGAAAGAAGGGGAAGATAGAAAGTCCTGGAGGGGACTGGAGCGCCACAAGGCCATCAGGAAAACCAAAAAATCTGGGCCCAGGGGTCTTTTCTGAGACTGATACTCCAACCAAGGACCATGCATGGCGATAACCTGGAACCTCTTCACAGATGTAGCCCATGGCTGCTCAGTCTCCAAGTGGGTTCCCTAGTTATGGGAATAGGGACTGTCTCTAATGTGAACTCAGTGGCTGGCTCTTTGATGACCTCCTCCTGAAAGGGGAGCAGCCCTGTCAGGCCACAGAGGAAGACAAGGCAGCCAGTCTTGATGAGACATGATAGGCTAGGGTCAGATGGAAGGGTAGGAAGACCTCCCTTAGTAGTGGACTGGGGAAGGGGCATGGGAAGAGAAAAGGGAAAGATGGCAGGATTGGGAAAGGATGACGGAGGGGGCTACAGATGGAAAACAACGTGAGTAAATTGTAATAAATAAATAAAAATAATGAAAGAATGAAAAAAATGGATTTTACAAATGAAAAGTAATAAATAAATAACTGTAGGGAAGAATACTAGTGCTAAGATAATATCAGAATTGTTACCACTGTCTCATCACCTTAACCTTCAAAGAGAGAATTCTCTGACAAATCCAGTAGATTTATTTGGATTTATCAAATTTTGACAAGATCAGGTATTTTTTGAGACTGTTGGCTTTATTTTTTAGTTCATTTATTAGACTGAAGTTGCATTTTGTTAGATTATTTGGTTGAAAATTAAAATTATGACAAGATTCATAGGAGACCTTGTGACTTTAAATGAGTAATCTTTCTGAGGAACACATACTGGTGTTACTAATTTCAAGTAGCCACTCAGTCACTAAGTCACAGAAGCTTAAATCGAAAAGAACGAGTTAGGCAAACTCTACATCAAATACCAAAGACACACCTCAAAGAGTTTCTTAGTTTTGTAAGATTGAAAACATGCAGGTAATAAAAGTACAAAATATTCTAGATTTATGCATGGGCTCTGTGCTCAAATTTTTGTTATGAAATCCTCTTAAGGGGCTAGCTGGGCAACCTTAAATACTGTGGGTGATATCTCTGCAGCACCATTTTCTCATCCATGTGTTTAGAATTATGAAAATCGTTCTAACATGGCATTACAAAAAAATAATATAGATAGACTTTCTGTTTCTTCATTTTTATCAAGGTGACTTTTAAAACATAGCATCAAAAATATTATGAAATTTAGATAACATAACCTATATTTCATAGTAAATATTTATGCATAAAGCATACTTAAATTGTGTTTGGCACATATTGATCTCTCAGTTATTATTATTCAGTAATGTATAATACTTGACACACAAAGTAATTCTATGCTTTTACTTGCAGGTGAAGAATTAGGAGCAGTACAAATGAATATTTTCTTAACTTTAAAGGATATAATTTTGTGAAAAATTATGTGAACATTGAAGAGTTGGAAAACATGGAACATTTCAAGATTAGAGATGATAATGTCTTCATTGTCACATATCCAAAATCTGGTAAGGGCCATGAGTGGTCATGTATCATTATTGTCTCCTTGGTTTTAGTATTTGCCTACCAAACTGGCTCCTGCCCACTCACCAAGAGCAGCAAATGTTCTGGGTTTTGTTCTGGGTTTGTTATTGTTGTTTTTCCATATGAAGTTGAGAAGTGTTCTTTCAAGGTCTGTAAAGAATTGTGTTGGTATCTTGAAGGGAATTGCATTGAATTCACAAGGAATATTGAATGGAAGGAATTATTGAATGCATTTCCCTGTTGACTCATTATTATCTCAACATCCTTAGTCAACAGGGAAATGCATATCAAAATGACTCTGAGATTCCACCACACACCCATCAGAATGGCTAAGATCAAAATCACAAGAGACAACACATGCTGGAGAGGATGTAGAGAATGGGGAATCCTCCTTCATTGTTGGTGGGAATGTAAACTTGTACAACCACTTTGGAAATCAATCTGGCATTTCCTCAGAAAACTGGGAATAGTGCTACCTAAAACCCAGCTATATCACTCCTGGGCATATATACAAGAGATACTCAACCATACAATGAGAACATTAGCTCAACTATATTCATAACAGCTTTATTCATAATGACTCAGCAAAAGAAATTGTAAAAACTAAAATAAAATACAAACACAAAAAACAAAACCAAAAAAAAAAAAGAAACCAAAAGTTGGTTCTTTGAGAAAATCAACAAGATTGACAAACCCTTAGACAAACTAACTAAAAGGCAGAGAAACACCATCCAAATCAACAAAATCAGAAATGAAATGGGGAACATAATTACAGACACTGAGGAAATCCAAACAATCATTAGGACTAACTTCAAAAGTCTATATGCCACAAAATATGAAAAACTAAATGAAATGAACAATTTTCTTGATCGATTCGACTTACCAAAGCTGAATCAGGACCAGGTAAATCAATTAAATAGTCCTATATCCTCCAAGGAAATAGAAGCAGTTATCAAAAGTCTCCCATCCAAAAAAAGCCCAGGACCAGATGGTTTCAGTGCAGAATTCTACTAGACCTTCAAAGAAGAGCTAACTCCAATTCTCTTCAAACTATTCCACAAAATAGAAACAGAAGGAACATTACCAAATTCATTCTATGAAGCCACAGTCACCTTGGTACCTAAACCTCACAAAGACTCAACAAAGAAAGAGAATTTCAGGCAAATCTCCCTTTTGAACATTGATGCAAAAATACTTAACAAAATACTTGCAAACCGAATCCAAGAACACATCAGAGATATTATCCAGCTAAACACAGAATTCTCTGTAGAGGAATATCGAATGGCAGAGAAGCACTTAAAGAAATGCTCAACCTCATTAGCCATTAGGGAAATGCAAATCAAAACGACCCTGAGATTTCACCTTACACCCATCAGAATGGCCAAGATGAAAAACTCAAGGGACAACACATGCTGGAGAGGTTGTGAAGAAAGGGGAACCTTTCTGGTGGGAATGTAAACTTGTACAACCACTCTGGAAATCAATCTGGCCCTTTTTCAGACAACTAGGAATAGCGCTTCCTCAACATCCAGCCATACCTCCTAGGCATATACCCAAAAGAGGCTCAAGTACACAAAAAGACATTTGCTCAACCATGTTTGTAGCAGCTTTATTTGTAATAGCCAGGAGCTGGAAACAACCCAGATGCCCGTCAACTGAAGAATGGATGCAGAAACTGTGGTACATCTATACAATGGAGTATTACTCAGCAATGAAAAATAAGGAAATCATGAAATTTGCAGGTAAATGGTGGGACCTGGAAAGGATCATCCTGAGTGAGTTGTCTTAGAAGCAAAAAGACAGGCATGGTATATACTCACTCATATAAACATACGTAATAAAATAAAACCACTAAAATCTGTACATCAAACAAACTAAGCAAAAGAGAGGACCCTAACTAAAATGTTCAATCCCCATCCTGAAAGGCAAAGAGGATGGACATCAGAAGAAAAAGAAAATAGGAAACAACCTCAGAACCTGCTACAGAGGGCCTCTGAAAGCCAGAAGAAAACAGGAAACAACCTTGGAACCTGCCACAGAGGGCCTCTGAAAGCCTCTGTAGTATAGAATGTCAAAGCAGACGCTGAGCCTGATGGACAACTGATGGGCAGAGTGAATGGAATTTCATGTAAGAAGTAGAAAATATTATGCACTGGTGGGGATGGGAATTCCAGAAGAAGAGCAACAGAACAAGATAATTTGAACACAGGGAACTTCCCAGAGACTCATACTCCAACCAAGGACTATTTGTGGAGATAACCTAGAACCCCTGCACAGATGTAGCCCATGGCAGTTCAGTGTCCAAGTGGGTTACATAGTAATGGGAAGAGGGACTGCCTCTGACATAATCTGATTGGCCTGCTCTTTGTTCACCTCCCCCAATGGGGGAAGCAGCCTTTCCAGGCCACAGTAGAGGACAATGCAGCCACTTTTGATGAGAACTGATAGACTAAGATCAGAAATGAGAGGAGAACCTCCTCTATCACTGGACTTGGGAAGTGTCATGCATGCAGAAAGGGGAGGGAGGGTGGGAACAGCAGGGGAGGAGGGAGGGGCTTATGGGGGATACAAAATGAATAAAGTGTAATTAATAAAAAATTAAAAAAAGAAAGTTTCCCATCCAAAAAAAGCCCAGGACCTGATGTTTTCAGTGCAGATTTCTACCAGAACTTCAAAGAAGAGCTAACTCCAGTTCTCTTCTAACTATTCCACAAAATAGAAACAAAAGAAATACTACTAAACTTATTCTATGAAGCCAGTCACTTTGATACCTAAACCTCAGAAAGATCCAACAAACATAGAAAATTTCAGACCAATCTCCCTCATGAACATTGATGCAAAAATACTCAACAAAATACTTACAAACCGAATACAAGCACACATCAAAGATATCATCCACTATGACCAAGTAGGCTTCATCCCACGTATGCAGGGGTAGTTCAATATATGGAAATCAATCAATGTGAATCACAATATTAACAAACTGAAAGAAAAAAAAACCACATGATAATCTCCTTAGATGCTGAAAAAGCATTTGACAACATCCAACATCCATACTTGTTTAAATTATTGGAGAGATCAGAGATACAAGGCACATTTCTAAACACAGTAAAGGCAATATACAGCAAGCCTATAGCCAACACCATTCTCAAGGGAGAGAAACTTAAAGCAATCCCACTGAAATCAGGGAAAAGACAAAGCTGCCCACTCTCTCCATATCTCTTCAACATAGTTCTGTAAGTTCTTGCTAGAGAAATAAGAGAGTTGAAGGAGATCAAGGAGAAACAAATGGGAAAGGAAGAAGTCAAAGTATCACTCTTTGCAGATGATATGATAGTATACAAGAATGACCCCAAAAATTCTACCAGAGAACTCCTACAGCTGATCAACAACTTTAGCAAAGTGGCCAGATACAAAATTAACTCAAAAATCAGTAGCCCTCCTATATACAAAAGACAAAAAGGCTGAGAATGAAATTAGGGAAACATCCTTCACAATAGCCACAAAAGACATAAAGTATCTTGGTGTAACCCTAACCAAGCAAGTCAAAGACTTGTCTGAAAAAAAAAATTGAGTCTCTGAAGAAAGAATTAGAAGAAGATATCAGAAGATGGAAAGATCTCCAATGCTCAAGGATTAACATAGTAAAAATGGCCATCTTACTAAAAGCAATCTACAGATTCAATGCAATTCCAATCAAATTACCAACACAATTCTTTACAAACCTGGAAAGAAAAATTCTCAACTTTGTATGGAATAACAAGAAAACCAGAGTTGTTAAAACAATCCTCTACAATAAAAGATCTTCTGGAGGTATCTCCATCCCTGATCTTAAGTTGTATTATAGAGCAACAGTAATAAAAACTGCATGGTACTGGCAAAGAAATAGAATGGTGGATCAACGGATCTGAACAGTAGACCAAGTAATAACCCCACAAACTTATGGATACCTGAACTTTGATAAAGATGCCAAAACCATACAATGGAAAAAAGATAGCATCTTCAACAAATGGTGCTGGTCCAACTGGATGTCTACATGTAGAAAAATGCAAATAAATCCATACTTATCACCCTGCACAAAACTAAAGTTCAAGTGGATCAAAGACCGCAACATAAAACCAGATACACTAAATCTATTAGAAGAAAAAGTGGGGAACAGCGTAGAAATCCTTGGCACAGGAGACAACTTCCTCAATAGAACACTGACCACACAGGCTCTAAGAGCAACAATCAATAAATGGGACCTCATGAAACTGAGAAAAGCTTCTGTAAGGCAAAGGACACCTTCATCAAAATAAAAACGACTGCCTACAGATTGCGAAAGAATCTTAACCAACCATTTATCTGACAGAAGGTTAATATCCAGTATATATAAAGAACTAAAGCAGGTGAAAAGCAGCAAACCAAGTAATCTAATTAAAAAATGGGTAACAGAGCTAAACACAGAATTCTCTGTAGAGGAATATCAAATGGCAGAGAAACAATTAAAGAAATGCTCAACGTCATTAGCCATTTGGGATATGCAAATCAAAGTGACCCTGAGATTTCACCTTACACCCATCAGAATGGCCAAGATGAAAAACTCAAGTGACAACACATGTTGGAGAGGCTGTGGAGAAAGGGGAACCCTCCTCCACTCCTGGTGGGAATGTAAACTTTTACAACCACTATGGAACTCAATCTGGTGCTTTCTCAGACAACTAGGAATAGTGCTTCCTCAAGATCCAGCCATACCACTCCTAGGCATATATCCAACATAGGCTCAAGTACACAATATAGACATTAGCCCAACCATGTTTGTAGCAGCTTTATTTGTAATAGCCAGAAGCTAGAATTAGTTCATTTACCCTCAACTAAAGAATGGATGCAGAAATTGTGGTACATCTACACAATGGAATATTACTCAGCAATGAAAAATAAGGAAATCATGAAATTTGCAGGTAAATGGTGGGACCTGAAAAGAATCGTCCTGAGTGAGCTGTCC